AAAAAAAAAGCAAGGATTTTAAGAGATTTTTCCATGTGTCACAACAGTGAACTGTCACTATAGTTCTGACTGTCAGTGTCTATTCTGAGGAAACAGGAAAATGAAGAAGGAAAGTTGTTCAGGGTCAGCTGGCTGTGTGAAGGGTGGCTGCCTTTCTCTCTTCATGAACCACAAGAGGGTGTGCGTGGTCACAGAACCCAGGCAGGCAGAGGTGTTAAAGGAAAAAGGCCTCCAGAATGATCACGGCTTCAGCCTGGGCAAGTGGTCACAGCTGAGGGGGAGAACAATTCCAAGGAGGCAAAGCACATTGGCCCCCACTGCTGGGGGGTTCCACCCAGAGCTGGAGTTTTCAGCCTCCCTCCAGAGGCCCAGATCAGCCCAGGTCATGCTGGTGGAAAATAGCAGAGCTCCACATGGACCCAGTGCTGTCCAGTGACCAGGGTCCAGGGAGTCTTGACTGGAATGAGGCCCACCTGCCCAGGTGTTAGCTCCATCTGTCCCAGGAGGGCAGCCATGGAGAGTCGGGGGTGACTGTACTAGTTTTGGGGCCACCTGAGGTGGTGACCATTTTAAAGTCCAGTCTTAGGAGGGCTCCACAATTCTGGATAAAACAGCCATGTCCCTTTCCTCCTCTTGCCTCCCTCCACCCTTCCCAAACCAAGCACCTTGTTCACACAACTGTTCACAGCTTCTGAGAAACAAGAGTTAACATCAGACAAGCCGCTCTTAACAACCAGGAGAATTTCCTCCCTCTTTCCCTTGCAGCGGTTCTCAACCTGTGGGTCGCGACCCCTTTGGGGGCCCAACGATCCTTTCACAGGGGTCGCCTAAGGCCATCGGAAAACAAAAAGATACTTACATTACAATTCATAACAGTAGCAAAATTACAGTTATAGAGTATCAACGAAAATAATTTTATGGTTGGGGGTCACCACAACATGAGGAACTGTATTAAGGGGTCACGGCATTAGGAAGGTTGAGAACCGCTGCCTTAGAGAATTATAGAATTGCTCAGAAGTGTTGGGTAAGAAGGACCAGCCCCTAAGTGATGAGCTTCTATTTGATCCTTCACCCACGTATGCACTGAGATTGTTTTGGGGAGAGAAACCTCGTAGTCATTCCCTCCAAGCCCTTGATCATTTTATTCATTTGTGAAACAGTGACTGTTAGCACAGATGAGTAAGGGAGTTCATGGCAACCACAGACAGAGGCTCTAGATGGAATCCAGGACAGAGTCCCAGCCTAGCCTGTTCAGCACTGTTTACCTGGGGAGCACCCCACAGATGACACACTGACAGTGAGTGAGATGGACACCTGGTTTGCAGCCGGAGGGAACCATGGGGTCCGAGTGTGGGGACAGGAACAGCCCCAATCATGGTACACCCCCCCGCCCCCCATGCCAACCCAAGACACTCGATGTTACTCTCAGAGGAGTAGGTGCCTCACTCTTTCAAGAAAGCTGATTGGACAACGAGTGCAGTGGCAGCCACCCCTCCAGAGTGCTCCCTGCAGGCTTTTACTCGAGGGGCATTTGGGGGGAGTGGCTTACTTAGAATCTCCAGCCTCAGAGCAAACATCTGACCACCGTGCTGGTCCCGCTGTGATCCTGCTATCCAGGCTGACGCCCAGGGCACAGCCCTGATGAGGTTCCGAGGGTGGGTTACCTGGTGGGGCAGTTGAGTGACTCACCTGCGTGAGGCTGGCCCTCCCTCCAGCACCTACTGCATCTCATGCAGCCTGGCCCATGGTGGCACTTTACACACTCACCCTATACAACCCTATGCACCATCACACCTGAAACTGTTTTCGCTGAATGTCAGTTCATCTCACTGAATGTTATTTGAAGAGGGAGCCATCCAGGATCACTCAGACAAGACCGAGCCTTTGGTTAAAGCACTAAACTGGGACACGTCTCTCAGTTTGCTTCTATACAAGTGTGGCCCAACATGTGTGTCTCAGAACCAGACCCGTGGCTTATCACTCCCTGTGTAGGGCGGAACCTGGGACTTTGGGCAGAGAACATTAAATATTGGTGTTGGTACCCAAGTTCCCGAAATTGTCTCTCTGGCACCAAGTGCCCTGTCAACCTCCAGGGTGGACTCAGGCAGGGTCCTCAGAGCTCACTGGCTGGGGGACCTGCCTTTTCTGGGAACCTGGCCAGGGAGGGGATGCCTGACCTCCTCTCCAGGAGCCGCTGCTAACACGCAGTTAGGATAGCTAAGCGTTGTGCCCCTGGGGCTGGAGCTCAGGACCAGGGTCCAGCAGGACCAGGTGTCTGCTGTAGGGTCAGGGCGTTGGGCCGATTAGGAGAGCAAACAGCATTTACGGGACTCTTGGAATCTTCTTTCTAAAGATGAGTCCCTGAATCCAGACTACGTTTTCAAGATAACATTTGAATTTAATGAAGCCGCTGATGGCACCTGGTCCTGGGTTTTCTGACCTGCCTCAGCCCTACCCAGCCCGGGCGATGGGGTGAGGGGATGGTAATGAGCCTCAGGATGGCAGCACCTTGGGTGTGATGGATGGCCAGCAGCCCTCATGCTGCTCCATGCCCTCCATCATCCAGTCGGGGTGGTTAGCAGATTGTCAGAGAAAAAGAATTTAGTGGCTGTGGCTTTAACTGATGTGCTGCAACTGGGGTCAAATGACTGTTACAGAGCGGTGGTGCTCCCGGTCCCTGCGCGGCAAGCTTGGGGTGACACAGTGAGAGAACATACTGAGGCGGGAACTCACTGACACCCTTCAACTTCCACAAGGGGTGGGGCCGGCTGGGAGCAGGGGTGGCAGGGCCACGCCACTGCCTCCATACAGCGGGGACCTCTGAGAAGGTGGCGAGAAGACAGAGGCGATATTGGGGATGGGGTCGCCTGTGACTCATCGGGCCACAGGGGGCCCAGTGGCTTCCTTTGGCGTGGTGGGCAAGTTTAAGCTACAGATAATGGAGAAACAGGATTGGAAGGAAAGAGAGAGGAAACAAATAACATGGAAGTGCCAGGAGAGAGAAACGAGGCTGCAGGGGTTCTGGTAAGAGGTGCTCATGGACCTGTGATGCTGAACTTGTTTGCAAACACCTGTTTCCTTCTGGACTATATATTACCTGAGGGTGGGCTTAAGGGCGAGATAGTGGAGATTGTGGTCTAAAACCTCCCAACCGCTCCTGAGAATGTGCAATAAATATTTAAAAATAAATGAAGGCATTGGGGGTGAAGATGCGGGGAGAAATGGCCATCTCTCGATTGGGGTTCCTCTTTCTGTGTCCCTCACCCGGCTGGGCTATGAGGAGTGGACCTCCATCAGACACATATTTACTGAGCTTTGGGATTTGGCACGAGGCATGTGTCCTGTGCCTCAGGGAGGGCCGCTGTGCAGCCCCCTCCATGCCCCCTGAGGTATGCACGGCCTCCCGTCCTGGGTGTTGCGATGGGATCATGACAGTGATGGGACCGACTGCCTACAACCACTGGGCACTACTCGCTGTGGATCGGTGCTGGGCTGAGTGCTTTTGAACTCTATAAAATGTTTCTTCCCCCAAATGACACCAAAGTGAGTTAAAGATACTTTCCTGAATCTCACACATTAGCAACACCCTCAGACAATTCTCAGAATGCTGAGAAAGGTAATTTGCATAAATAAGTAGTTAGAAAACTGGGAATAGGGTAAGAATCGATCCCGACATGTGGTTAGTGCTACGAAGGTATTTCTCCAGTGAACAAAGGGGAACCAGCATGAGAAAGCAGATGGTTACCGGTATGAAAGGACCAGAGGCGAAGGTGACACAAGGCTCCAGCCCCGTCCTGGTTCTGAGCCCTCTGCATACAGCCGAGGGTTGAACTCTTGGACCCTCTCCTCTATGTGGGGCCCCCGGGGGCCACACAGGCACCTGCCTCCAGTTAAAGTCACTGAGGCCAGACGACTCACATTCACTTCGCTTCCTCCAGCCTCCCTAGCGAGAAGCTGTGCCCAAACTGCCACCTAACATTCATTTGCACCTCCTGCTGGTTTTCCCAAGGCAGAGAGCTCAGCCCCCAAGTCACTGAAGGGCCCGGTTGATACCACCCGCCTTCCTGTTTGGGGACAGTGGCCCCATACCAGCGCTGCCTTGTCCCCCTGCCACTGATGTCATTGCAGACATCACCTGCCTTCACTCGTCCTCCCACATCTGTGCCAAGTCCAAGTGTTGACATTCTTTCTCTACATGCTCAAGGCTCTCTCCAAAGCCTGACATGCCCTATTGGTGATGCTGGGACCAGCTGAGCTGTCTTTTCTGGGAGGGGCATGGGGCGCTATCTACTTACAGCCGCAGGAGCAGAGGGGCTGCCTGCTGCCTGTCCCCGCTCACGGTCGTCCTAGCATCCGGCAGCTACCTGAGAATTCTCACCTGGGGCAAGAGGTGACTTTTACTCCTGCTGGGCACGTGGCCGGGCAGCCGGATGTCGAAGAGGGCCTGGAGGGCGGCCTGCGCGGCCTGACCCTTGGCCAGCTTCTTGCTGCGTCCCGAGCCTTCAAACGTCCTCCCGTCCACGCTCACGGCCATGACGAAGCTGCGGGGCCGCTCGGAGAGGCACACATATCGCAGGCCAGCGCGCAGCTGGTTCAGCAGCACCACCGGGTTCCTGTCTCCCGGTGCCACCAGGTCTAGGGTGCGGCGCAGCAGGCGCCCCCGCCGGCATGCTGCAGACAGCAACTCGGGCTCAGCGGGGCGGCGGCCAGGGAAGGCCGGGCTTGGCGCTGCCGGCTCAAACTCCTTGAACAGCGTGTCGGGAAAGTCAGCCTGGTCGGAGGTGAAGTCCGTGCAGGGGCTGGGGCCACTGCCCATGGCCAGGTGCGCCTGGCAGGCGTTGGGGAACTGCACGAAGGAGCGCAGGGCCAGCTCGGCCGCCCGCATTTTGGCCTTCTTCTTGGTGGGCCCCGTGCCCTCGAACGTCAGCCCGTTCACCTCCACGGCCACAGCGAAGACGGGTGCGTGCACCGGTCCTGTCTGGGACACCATCCGGTACTGCAGGCCCGGCCGCAGCTCATGCAGCTGGACCAGTGCATTCTTGGGCGCCATCGACCAGGACAACTTTTTCCAGATCAACTGCACTTGGCACAGGTGGCCGCCATTGCCCTCCTCCAGGGGCCTTTTTCTTTTCACGCCGGGCACGCTGCCTCGGGCCCTGTCGCCGGCGGGCAGCGGCCGCGCCTCTAGGTTGCTCACATTCCGGTTCTCCTTCACGTCTGCGCTGCTGGTACCTGGAGGTGAGAACAGACAGGCGTGACCCAGGGCCCTCAGGTTGCCTGATGCCAGACACCACTGCCAGGGATTGTGAGCCCTGCTGTCAGCCAGCACCTCCTCCGGGCCTTTGAGGGCACCCTTTGTTTTCTGGCTGACAGGAGATACTAACTTTTCTGACCCCCGAAAGTGGGGTGTGGATGTGGGGAGGAGCCTGACCTACCTACTGCTGCTCCCCCTGCTGCTCTGAGTGCCGCTGTCACAGGGCTTAGGACAGCCGGGTATAGGTCTCCAGCCCCTCTCTTCCATAGCCACCCCCAAACCCAAATGAACATGTAGTCCTTTCTCTCAGCTTCGGGCAATGCTGAGGCCTTCCCTGTGGTGTGGTGGTGACCAAACTGTTGTGCATTCATAGGCTGGGACACCTGATAGCACTTATGTTCAATGACCAGGTCTATGTACTCCAACATGGAGGGATCTCAGAACAACGATGTTAGACAATAAAAGCAACTTGCAGAGTAATACACAGAGTGGGATGTCGTGAACATAAATGATAACAGCACAGACACCACAAGTTGTTCGTGTAATCAGACATAGGAGGTGAAGCTTAGATGCTCCCTTTCCCAGGAAACAAGGAGTAGATGAGATGGGGGCCTGCAGGGAGCTTCCATTGTAGCTCTACTCTTTTACAAGTCTTTTGCAAGAAATTATATGATTTAAGTTTAGCAAAGTCATCATCTGTAACTGTGGGTGATGGATGAACTTAATGATAATTTAGCTATTCAAGGCTGACTGTCTTGGACACCTCTTCACTAGTGAGACTGTCCTCTTTAGAAACCCTCAGCTTGGACCCCACAGAACCACAAGGTCAGAGCCCCTGTTGCTTCCTGGTGGCACTGCTGTTGGAGAATAATAATGAGAAAGGGCACAGTAGATGCTTGAACCACCAGGTGCCCCCCACACTTGAGAAGGCTCCTGTCTGTGTTTTAGGGCTGTGGTCCTCCCAGCTTGGGTGACGCCTCCTGCCCCTATTCCCACCAGCCCAACTGGCGGTGTTCCTGGTGGTGAGAGGCCCATTTTGAAGGTGCTAAAACTGCCACTGTCCATGAGCTTTGTTCTCTAAGTTGTGGCGGTTCTGTTAGTATTTTCTTGAGCAGCTTGCTGCTATCAAACATTAGGTCTGCAGAGGCGATTTGTTTAAGTGTCAACCTGAGCGTTTCAATGTTAGAGGTGGATGGCATCACTTATAGGCTATTTTAGTTGAAACAATTACCTCCTGATATCAAGTGCCACATGTCATCCTCCTCTGTGAATCGCTATGCATCTGTGTTCACACAACCAGGAGCTCTGCCGTGGGGGGTGTTTCAGGCCCAGGCCAGTAGATTGGATTAACCAGGCAGTTTCCCAAATTGAACGTAAAAATGGAAAAAAAAACCAATAAAACAAAAAACAACCCAGCTGAAAGGTCCCCACAGCAGAAGGCCTAGAAACTTGCTGGGAGCTCTAATTGCTTACTGATTTCTCACAGTATGGAGGTTGTGGGACCAGCATATCAGCTCTGTTGCCTTGTCAGGTAGAAAGGTGTATCTTGGAGTAGCCATCATGGCCCCCAGTCCTCCCACTGTCTGCACTGAGATTGCTTCCATGCTCTGCTCTGCCACAATACTCAATATCCGATGATGACAGTCATTATGAAAGTCTCCTGTGGCACAGACGTGATGATCAGATTGTGGCACTAAAAGCCCTTCCAAAATAATCAATAACTAATAGCTAATAACTAAAAATGCAGACTGCCAGGTCCTATCCCGCACATAGTAGCTAGAATCTCCGGGCATGACGTTACCCAATGGCTTTTGCAAACAAGCAGACTAGGGGTCAAGCTCCAGGGTCAAGCAGGTAAAGGTCAAAGTCCTCTCCATCCTTTATGTAAATGTGACTTTGGCCAAGTTCCTCAACCTGCCCAAATGTCATTTTCGTAAGATGGAAAAGGTGGGTTTTAATAAATCTTATATTATGAGATTGGACTAAAGGAACACATGTACTAGGCTCAGCAAAAACCATGACATATAGTTTGGGAGTGGAGTCAATGGAATTGTAATAGATATGTATGATATGGGAGGCGGGGGAGTAAGGCGGCAGATTGTGGGAGGGGCGTGATGAAAAAATAAAATAAAATAAACATAAAAAAACCCCAAAACCAAACAAACCCCTGACATATAGGAAAATCTAACAGATTTTTAAAAAATACAATCGTCCTCTTTATCTGTGGGGGACAAGTTCCGAGACCCCCAGTGGATGCCTGAAACTGTGGATAGCACCGAATCCCACACATGCATACCTATGATAAAGTTTAATTTATACATTAGGCACAGTAGGTGATTAACAGCAATAACTGATAATAAAACAGAACAATTGTAATCATAGACTGCAATGAAAGTTAGATGAATGTGGCCTCTCTCTCTCTGATAACCTATCTGATAACCGGGACGGCTACTAAGTGACTAACAGGTGTACGCTGGACAAAGGGATGAGTCATGCCCTGGGTGGGGTTGGAAAAGGACGGCACAAGATTTCATCACAATACTCAGAACGGCACACAATTTAAAACTTAAGAATTGTTTATTTCTGGAATTTTTCACTTAATGTTTTCAGATTGAAGTTGACCAGGGGTAACTGAAACCGTGGAAAGTGAGACTGCGGATAAGGGTGGGGGTGGGAGACTAGTGTAACAGGAAAGAGAGAGACAGACACCTGTAAGCCATTTTTTTTTTTGTCTAGGCCCAGCTGCTCTCCCTGATTATTTTAGGTGCTGGAATCCCAGGTTCCAGCAGAAAGTAGGGGTCACAGTGCGTCTGTCTCCCAGGGCTGTGGGGGACAGGTTGGAAGACAAACACTGATTCTCACAAAGACTTCCCCAAACCTCCCAAGTGTCAGTAATCTGGTTCCTGGGGCAAACAAGGGGAAAGTGGCCTTTGCCTTTTGGGATGCTCGGTCTAGTGGGAGAGGCAGACGGACACTTGTGATCTGCACACAGTGACACGTGGTCCGATGGCTCTGGGGCCCAGAGGAACAAGGGTGGAGAGACCTGCCCTGGTCGGAGCTGTGTAAAGAAATGCCCGCTGTTCTCGAAAGGCTGCCACCAGTTTGCCTGTCCCCGACGTGAGCTTTCTGCAGGTGTCAGCCATGGTGTCACGAGTTCACGTCTCCTTCCACTTAGTGATCCTAAGTAGGGGAAATCCCTTCCCTGACCCAGGAAATGAGTCTCACTTTCTCTTCATTTCCTTAATAGTTGTCACTCACTCTGTGGTCAGGGGAAAACCTGGAGATAACAAATCAGGAGGCCGAGAATGCTTGCTCTCCCTCCTGACTGTAGACTGGAGATGCTTCCTGCTTCTGTGAGTCTCAGGGGCAGGTGGCCCCGAGTGTCACCTCTGAGGTGGGGGACATTGTCCCCAGCAGGCTCCTGTCCTGGCTGCCTCATGCAAACCCCCCTGGGGCATGTCGCCAGCCTTTAACCTTTTCCTTGTGTACTTAGGCACTCTGGGCCTGTCTGGTGTCTGCTCAGGAAATGCGAAAAGGAATTGGACCCAACCTCACTGGTGATTAGCCCACAGACCAGCCTGTGTGAGTGGGGGGTGGGTGGGGGTGTGGGGGTGTGTGTGAGGGGGGTGTCAAACCACTCTGGAGCCATGGGGCAGGCAAGTGCTTTCCCCCTTGTCTCACTCTGTTGTGATGTGTCCTGTCATTTTCAGAGGCTCAGCCTTGTCTGGGGAGCCGGCTCCAGGGTTCACGGATACTGTGAGCCCTGGCTGGTCACTTCTGGGAGAGAAGAGTGTGGCTGAGACTCTGTGTACCTGGGGGCTGTCGTCTGATTGGTGCACAGATGGACTGGGCCACACCGGGCTTTTGTCAGGGTCAATGGGGACAGTGTGTAAAGCGGGGTGGCTACGGCTCACCCACGTGTGAGAAGCACAGACAGGTGGCAGCCAGGGGGCCTGGTGAGTCAGTCCTGGCACCGGTGGCTCCTGGATCAGGCTCAGCAGCAAGACCAGAAGTCTCCTTTCAAAGACTGGAAGCTGAGCTGAGCAGATGTGGCCGGCGGGATGCTCTTCCCCTGACTACAGAGCAAAGGGCACGGGCTATGCAGCCTCGGCCCTCGTGGGCACCCTTGTGTCAGTGGCAGGACAGAAGTTGTGGGGCCAGAGCAGTACCTCAGAGTTCCCTCAGAGTTCCAAGAAGAAAGCTTGCAGGGCTACCAGCTTAAACACAAAGTCTAAACAGCACAGCATAGTCTGACAGACAGTTGGCTGGGACCCACCCTGCTGACCACTGGCTTCCAGGTGGGCTCATGGGCACCGTCCTTGCTCAGGCCAATTCTCTGTCTGCCTACTGATGGCTGAGCCCAGCTTAGCCCTGGACACTGCAATTCAGCTCCTGGGAGGAGCAGAGGTGGGGGGTGGGAGACAGATGGTCCTGAATGGTGACCTTCATCTTAAACCCACCCAGACACACCCTTTTGAAGGTTGACAGATAAAAACAGGGGGCTCCAAAGCAAGGATTCGTTTCCTTCTACCAGCCACCCTCCCTTCCCACACACTTGTGTGTACACACTGCACACACATGCACACGCAGTGAACATCCACCTCACATCACACATATCACACACACACCACGTACATCTCACTCACACACCACACACTTGAATACACACACACAAACACACCCACCCATCACACACACATATGAACACACACCAGTCATACACCTATCACACACACAAACACACACATGAACATACATGAACACATACCAATCACACACACAAACACACATACATGCACACACATGAACACACATACTCATCACACACACACACATGGGCCCCTCCAGGGGAGTGGCAGTCACCCCTCTTCCACCTGCCAGTGGCATTTGGGCAGCAAACTGACAGGCTGCCTGGATAAAAGTCGTGCCAAGTGTTAAGACCAGGCCACCATGTGGAAGGGCACCTCTGAGCAGTATGTGAGGAGAGGGTTTTCTGAGTATGTTCACAGCATGTATTACAAAGGGGGTGACTAATCCACTGGTAGAAAGTACGATTTTCTAAACATTTCAAAGGCATTTTAATATGTAATAAACAATAAGTCATGCTTATCTGAAGGTTTCACCTGTTACCAGTGAGCTGACTCAGGGAAAACAGCCTTAATCCCAGGAAGTGGAAAACCTTGACCACGCCTTTATATACCCCAGGCCCTTGCCTAAAATGTCTTCATGCATTATCTCATTCGATTCTGCCCTCAAAGTTGTGACCCGGGGAACATTACTGTCCCTGTCTTGGACATGCGGCTCTGAAGGTCTGAGCGTTGACGTTCATGGCCCAGGGCTGTGGGGCTCATGAGTACAGAGGATGAGATGATGTCGGCCTTCTACTTCCTGAATTGTGCCATCCTCAGAAATCGTCAGGCAAGGGGGAGAGAAGGCCCTGCCTGGGGAGACTAATCTGGCTCAGAGGGAACACAAAGGAAGAGTAAGATTGAATTCCTCAAGCTCACAATACACTGGCTAAGTCCTAGGAAATTTCCAGTTTAGACCTCACAGAACGGAAGCAATAATTTATCCATGCTTCCCTTGGACTCCGTGCTTTGCCGAGGCCCCGAACGGATGGTCAGGAGACCCGTGTTCTGACTCCCACATGACTTCTGCTCATCCTCTACGCCTGTCCTTTTTCATCTAGAAAATGAAGGACTCAAGCTAGAGTATCGCTAGGGTTGGCTCTGGGGCTGATGAGCAAACACTCCGTGACTATGCTTTTGTGGAACGACCCGGGGCACTCACCTCAGTCTGTTATGTTTTCTGGGGAAGGGCTATGCAGGTGGTGCGTTGCATCTCTTACAAGCTGGTAGCAAATGGAGAGCATTCCTGGGCCAGTGCTCCCACTGCTGCTTCTTGGTCACGTCAATCATGCCAGTGACCACTAGTAAACAAGCAGTCCACGTCCTCCCCCTCCCAAGACCACTGGCACCCTCTGAACTCTTTCTGGCTGAGACGGTAACCCATCTGTTAGGTAATGCTGAAACACAAGAGGTATTTACAAGATTTGGAACATTTGCCCCCTTCAGTTAAATGCTTGACAATATGCTCCCAGAAGAGGCAAGTGCAATGCATGCCAGCCGCTCCCAGACTCTCGCACATGCCAGTCCTGGCAGCTCTGCTCCTCAGGGGTCTGACTAGGGGTGCTGTTCAGGTCCCCTCCCCACACCGGCTTCTGGTCCCCACACTACACTGCTCAGCATCTCTCCAGGCTCACGTGCCAGAATGTTCCCACTGGCAGGCACCCGTCCAGCTCTTTCCTTGTTAAGAAATTGTACTGTGTTCAAAGAGACTGTTCATTTTTCTTTACCCTCTCCCTCTCCCTCTCCCTCTCCCTCTCTCTCTCTCACTCTCTCTCTCTTGTTTGGAAGGGAAAGACACAGAAAAGAGGAGAGGGATGTCCCAAGAGAACTTTATAAAAATGTGAATATAAATATATTCATATATATATATATATATTCTCTGGAGTTCTCAATAACATAGTCACTGCTAATATTTTCCTACCACCCAGGTGACGGTGGGTTTCCAGGTGAGGACAAGGTTCCAGGTGGGGATGGGTGGGATTCCAGGTGAGGATGAAATTCCAGGTGAGGATGGGATTCCAGGTAGGATGGTATTCCAGGTGGGGACAGAATTCCAGGTGGGGACGAGATTTCAGGTGAGAGCAGGAGCAGAGCCTGTTGCTCCAGCAGGCTCAGATAGTACTCCCCTGGAATCACCCCAAGGGCCTCTGCTTTTGGGAACAGTGAAGGACACCCCTCGGCACATCAGGCTGGGACCTGCCCCCCACACTCTTCAGGGAGGGGAACTGCTTACTTAGATTGTCTTCATCCTCCGTGTTTGTGGCCCCGGGGCTCAAGTGCTTGAAGGGAGCCATGAAGGCTGACAACATGCTGACTTTGTCTGGAAAGAAAAGAACAGGAAATGCACTTTTGACATTGAGTTTCAGAACAAGTTGGCGCTTTCATATGTTCTTATTACTGAGGGTTTGGACAAGCGAGGTTGAAGGGTCACTTGGGTTCCAGCCACTTCATTCTGGTTCAGTCTTTTTATTGAATTTCTGACAGCATTTTATCAAATTCCTCTCTCCATTCAATTCTAAACTTTGTGATTTCCATCTTTCTTCTCTTCTTATTTTTGGCATATCCCCTCCTCTTGTTCCATGTCCCTCAAAACTTGAAGTAATCGTCTCCAGGGCAACAGCTTTGCCTGAGCTCACAGGATCCTGAGGGGGGGCAGAGCCTGCCAGACTGAGGTCATTTCACAGAGAGCAAGTAAAAAAGATCCCACAATTAAATGAGCATCGTGCAAATAAAACCAAGACTATTTTTTCCCATTAGTGGAGAACTTGCTTTGTGGACTTGAAGTGCATGAAAAAAATGGACTTCATCTAAACTGTAAAGTGTACCGAGTGCGTGTTTGAGCATAAGTAGCAGGGGGGAAGAGGCAGAAGGAAGGGGAAATGGGGGAGGGGCTTGTGCCCACCTGCAAATGGGAGCGTGTAATTGAAGCTGGGAGCAGAATCACAGACACCTCTGCCCACAGGCTCCTCCTCTCCGCCCCCCCCCACCCCCAGCTGCCCAGCATCCTGGGGCCCAGGCACCTCCAAGGACAGCAGGTGGGAAGAAATGCCGCATAAACCACAAAAGAGGTTCTATCCGTGGTCATGGTCTCAGCAGATTCTCTCTTGAACAGAGAAGTTAAGGGGGTATAAGTGGGATGTACAAACAAACAGGGGAAATTAAAAAATGACTAATGCAGGGGGCTGAAAGGGGAGCGTTTTGTTTTAGAGGTTCCACTGGTCCAATTCAGCCACAGAAGTCAGGAGCACTAGTCCCCAAGCAGAACGGAGTCCCCTGCTGTCAGGTCCCTCTGTCTGGTGTCTTCACCCCCCATCCCCCCAAGTCTGCAGGATACATGATACTCCATGGGAATCTTAACCACATTGTTAAAACACCACAGATGTCACCGTTGCTTGTGCAGTGTGTGACAGGGCTGCGACAGTCATTCCTGCTCTTGCTGTGGTGGGCTTGTCCAGGGCCCTGATCTCCAGGCCTTTGGTGACTTTGCTCTATGGACACTTCGCATCCACTCCTGAGGGCAGGGTGTTCAGTGCAGTCATTTTTTGTCTCCAGCTGCCTCTGTCTGCCTCTGGCATCAGAAAGGAGGACTGTTGATGGCACACTTCTAAGTGTGGTCTCCCAAGACACTGGTACCTAGCGGTTTATATGCAGTTAGCCGGCAGGTGCCCAGACCCAGCTTGAAATCTGCTCTTTTCCTGTCCTTTCTCAGCTTGTTTTCTCTTTAGCCAAGCTTTCCAGAAGCCGGGGGGTTTCACATTGAAATTCATTTCTGAGCCTGTTAACAGCTGTTGTTTCCAGTAGGGACGGGCAACAATGCAATGTTCACTCAAAGAGAACAATAAATAACTGAAATACAAAATGTGGTTCCTTCTTCATTCTCCCAAACAAGAAGAAGCCAGGGAGGGTTGGCCTGCCCCAGCAAGCTCAGCCCAGGCTAATTTACTGCCACGGAATGAAATCTCTTGCTTGAGTTATAATTTCATTAAGGGAGCCCAGTAATATTACACAAAGAGTGTGAGGCTCAAATGATTTAGTCTGGAGCACCTCAAAATGAAATTACAATTTTCTAATAAAGCAGGGCCACCAGCCCAACACCCACAAAAACACACTAAACCATTTCACAGCTCACCTTAGCAAAATTGTGAGATATTTAAAGATTGTTTTAGATCCATCAAAGTTCTCGCTTCCTAGGGGTGCCAGGTTTACCACATAAAATATGTAAGACACTTAACATTAGTCAAACATCAGTTTTAGATAAACAGCATACTTTTCTAGGATATATACATCACTAATAATGTGTAGAACATACATATATTACAAATTATTTATTCTTTATCTGAAGTTCAAATTCATGGTAAAGGACTTGAGCAGACATTTCTCCAAAGAAGACACACGAATGGCCAAATATGCACATGAAAAGATACATGGCATCATTAGTCATTAGAAATGCAAATCAGAACCACAGTGACATGCCATCTCACATGCATCAGGATGGCTGCCATAAACATAACAACAGATAACAAGTATAGGTGAGGGTGTGATGTTGGGACCCTCCTGCACTGCTGGTGGGATGTGAAATAGTACAGCCTCTGTCCAACAGCAGCCCCATTTCTGGGCACACACCCTAAACAATGACAGCAGGGACTTAAAGAGATCTCTGTGTACTCGTGTTCACAGCAGGATTAGTCACAATCACCAAAAGGAGGAAGCAACCCAAGTGTCCACCCACAGGTGATGGGATAACAAAAATGTGGTCTATACACAATGGATTATCACTCAGCCTTAAAAAATGAAGGAAACCCTGGCACCTGCTACAACATGGATGAACCCTGAGGAAGTCATGCTCAGTGACATAAGCCAGTCACAAAAGACCAATACTGTGTGATCCCACTCATATGAGGACTCTAGCGTGGTCAGATCACAGACAGAAAGTGGATTGTGGTGTCAGGGGTTGAGAGGGGAATGGGGAGTGAGAGTTTAAGGGGTACAGAGTGTTAGTTTGGGAGATGACAAAGTCCTGGACATAATGGTGGTGATGGTGGCACAACAGTGTAAATTGATTTAACGCCACTGAACTATATGTTTAAAAATGGTTAATGTGGCAAATTTTATGTTATGTACATTTTACCACAATTTAAAACATAAAAAATAATTCAAACTTAACTGACGTCTGTGTTTTACCCAGTAACCCTATCTCTTCTATGCCCTACTAACTTTCTCCTCTTCTGTCCAAGGTGGGGTTTTAGGTTTCATGGGCCAGCAAGACAGATGGGACAGGGAGCCAGCAGAGCCGCTGACCTTTGTCTGCTGGTTGCTCCCCACACCACTGCATTGTGACAGGGAACTACCTGGAAAGCACGGGGGCTCCCCAGGGGCACGGCTGTTCCTAGGAGACGGTGGGCCATGCCTTTGAATGTCATTAGAAAAAGGATGAGGAGGTACATTTTTTATTTAGATAATGACAGCAGAGATTATTGGATGTCAGACCTCTCTTGGCGGTCATTGCCCTGACACACGTTTGCCAGGTTGGCGCGTGTGCCAGTTGGTCCCCTACGAGCAGAGTGCCTCTGTCCACCCAGTTCTAGTCTTTGTGTTTTTCACAGTCACTTTTTTTTTTTTAACGAAGTTTCTCATTTGGCTTCTTATTCTTTTGAACAAATTAATTACATAGCAGCAATCTTGTTTTATTGCAACATGAACCCAGGAGGAGGAAAGGAGACAGGGCGGGAAAGGGAGGGCCAGTCCAGGTGGTGGTGGCCAGCACCAAAAGCTTCTTCAGATTACGGGGAGCCCTGGTCAGCTCCCTGAGCGGATTCACTGAAAAGACACTGTAAGCATAGCTATGTGATGTCTCCGCCTCCCAGATGGACCAGTCCGGGACGAGAAGAGAAGCAGAAGGAAGAGAGGGTGGCAGGGTGAAACTAGTATGGCCTGACCAGGGGCTGGGGCAAGGCACAGGATGTGGCCCCGTTTGCAAACATGCTTGCCTTGCCTCTGCATGTTGCGGCCCCAGCCATACCCGCCCGCTGCCCCTGGCCCATCTGTCTTTCACAGTCATCTTTGGAAAATCTGGCTTCATACAGGTTTCTGATGAAAAATGGAGACGATACTTTTATTTTACTCAGCTCTGGACATTTTGGGTATGTAGAGAGATGCTGGTTAACAGAATTCTCCACACTTCCGGCACCTGCTGGTCGTAAGGTTTGGAAGAAGGAGAAGGTGGCTGGAAGGGGCGCCTGGGTGCTCCCTGTTCCCCATGCCTGGCTACTCAGCTCAGGCCCAGAGTGTCTGCTGTGAAGTGCCTGAGATGCGCCCACCTGGACTAGCCCTGGCGCGGAACAGCGCCTGGGGCTGTCCTCTTATCAAGTCACAGTCAGGAAAGGTATAGCCACCATCTGTCACACTTACTGCAACTGTCTCTTATGCATTGTTTGAAGTGGCCCAGGATGTGTGCATATAAAGCAGTTTACTCATTGCAAAATAATGGCTCTTGTTGAAATAATTTCCTGTATTTTTGGAGTTTGTGGGGAAGCATTTTCAGAGGGCAGGAGCCCTTTCCTGGAACCATATGACATCACATTGGCTGAGGATATTCATAACAAAGAATAAATATAATGCAGTGATGACCCAAAGACAGATAAATAGAACAATGGAACAAAATAGAGAGTTCAGAAATAGTGTCATACCTATCTGATAGATTGATTTTCAACAAAGATCTCCAAGTAATACAAGGGGTTGAAAGAAAGTCTTTTCAACAAGTAGTGCTGAAAAAACTGCACACCATCTTGGGAAAAATGAATTCTGAGTTCTACCTCATACATGACAATCACCACAAAATGGATCATAAACCTAAACTAAAAGCTAAAGCTATAAAACTTATAGAAGAAAATATAGATTACTTTCATGGTCTTTATGTAGGCAGATTTCTTAGGCAAGTCACAGAAAGCAAGAATCATAAAAGAAAAACATAAATTAATTTTCATCAAAATTAAAAATTTTAGCTCACTGAAAGATACTGTTAAGAAAACAAAAAGTGGGGCCAGCCGAGTGGCTCAGTTGATTAAGAGCTGGCTTGGGATGCCAGAGAGTCCCGGTTCGGATCCCACATGTGAGGGCCAGTGACACTGCCCTCTACAGCTAAGATGCTGAACAACAGCTCAACCTGGGGCTGGGCTGCCATGAGTCGCCGGTGATGGCGTAGGCTGCAGCCCCTGTGGCAGTGGGTTGCCATGGGCTACCGTGTGTAGCCAGCAGCCAGCGTGAGTGGCCAGCAGCCGCAGTGAGCGGCCGTCCAGAAGCCGGCGACTGATCTGCCTCGCC